AAAAAATAAATAAAAAGTCACATTTATCAATATCACCATCAATCTCAACAGAAAAGTCTTACAGAGTTGTCAAGCTTGAAGTGGTGCATATAAATTTTCCAAAATTCTAACTTTTGCTTGAATGTCAATTGTTTCCCTTGAAGTGGCAGGCTTTCGTTCATTTCTGAGAAAATGTCTACCAAACACCGCCATCTGTATAATCATACTTAGAAAATTTTAGAAAATATTAACAGACAACTTATCAGAGCAATGATGTTACCATGTTATGGAGCTCCTCAGAAACTCCAGTGCACACTCCTGAAAGAACAAGTGTGAAAAAGGCAAATAACATCAGTGTTATTAGGAAATAATTTTTACCTTGTGGACTCCTTGAAAGGGTCTTGGGGGACCTTCATGAGTGCCCCAAAAAACACTGTTTTACATTTTACAAGGCAGAGTACATCAATTCTCAATTAACTTTGACTAAATTGCCAAAAGAACCTTGGAAGACCTCACCACCTGAGGGGTGAGTTAGAACTAACTGCCTGAGAAGGAAGAAGAGGGCTTCAAATTGCCCACCTCACTCTAATAGGAGCAATTCATTAGCTCTACTTGTACCTTCACCTCATCTGGGGATGAGCTGCCCCCAGGTTCCTGCCAAGCCTTGGCATTAGTCAAGCCATCCTGGGGTGATCCAGATTTAGGCAGGTTTTTTTTTTTTCTTTAAACTTTAATTTTAGGTAATCTATGACCTCCCTACCACTGCCCTAAAGTGAGTTGATTCAATTATTTTAAAGTTAAAAAAAAAAGAAGAAAGAATAAGTAATGGGGATAAAAGGCACAGCATAGGGAATACAGTCGATGGTATAACAGCACTATATGGTGACAGATGGTAGCTACACTTGTGGTGAGCATGGCATAATGTATAGACTTATTGAATCACTACATTGTACACCTGAAACTAATGTTGAACTTTGTCAACTATATTTCAATTAAAAAAACTAAAATTAAAATTAATAATAAGAAATAAAAAGCACATTAATGCCACTTTTTCTGAACCAAAAAAAGGTACCATATTTTGAAATTCTGCACTGTGCCCTTTATTAACTACACTTTTGAATTTTAAATTACTTCAAATAGCTGTTTATAAAAGTGTCCATGGAATTTACAAATATAACAAAAAGGAAATGTACTATTTAATAGCATTAAATATACTATCTTTATTTTTAGTTAACAGTATTAGTTAACTTTTCAAGGATAGGTTGGCAATGTCACCTTTTATCAACCTTCCCTACAACTCATTTACAGAAAAAAATATTATAATTAATAATCCTTAAAATACTGTTATTAATTCAATACACACTTCTGAAAACTACTTCGTTATTATAATTAATTCTCGGCACGGTAAAGAAGAAACTGTCAAATACAGAAGAATTTGAAATCCTTAGTATGAGGAGATTTGGTTTGGATCAAAAGTTAGGATCTTGAAGATATTATGTTAACTAAAATAAACCAGATATAAAGGACAACTGTATGATTCCATTTACATGAAGTATACAGAACACACAAATTCATGGAGACTGAAAGCGGGTGGGGCGGGGTAGGGGGGAGGGAAGTAGTTACTGCTTAATGGTTACAATTTTTGCTTGGGGTAATGAAAAAGCTTTTGAAAGGGATTGGCTGCACAACAGTGTGAATGTAATTAATGCCACTGAATTATACACTTAAAAATGGTTAAAATGGCAAATTTTATATCTTACCAAAATGTTTAAAAATTAATAATGTAATATATACTGAATATACATTAATACTGTATAATGTATATTAAAGTGCACTTAATACACATTTTAAATGGGTGAATTGTATAGTGTGTGAATTATATCTCAATAAAAATGTTTAAAACAAAAGTTCATAATTTGGTCTTGAAATATCCAAAGGATTCTGACATAGAAAATGGCACAGATTTGCTCGGTGTGACTGTAGGAACATAACTAGGACCTCCAAAGCATAAGTTATAGGGAGGCATATTCCCACTCAATACAAGAAAGAAACAACAGCCAAAGCTGTCCAAAATCTTGAAGTGTCCCTTCACAAAGCAGAGAACAGTCTTTAGCAAAGGCCCACCTGTCAGGAATGCACAGGGCCCTAAAGGGTCCATAAATACCTTGATAATGGAATGCAAAATTGTGTCTGTTCTTTTCTCAAGTAAGGTCCTTATGTTAGATTCTCAAACGGGACAGATTGCACTAGATCTAAAAATTTCTTCCAAATTTGAGACTGTACACCCCTATAGGTCATACTCCCTCCCCTCTAAGGAGCGTAACGAAAAGAGCATTCACTACACTATACGGACACAAATGACTTGTGTCCAGAATCAACTAATGTTGCCCTTATTATGCAAGTGAAATATACTCTCAAGATTGCCCTTGGGCTAAAATTTGGGTAAAAGGAAGATAATGCGTAATGGGATAAGGCCCAGTCAGATTCAGATGTTCCCCTTCCCTGCTCCCATAGAACCCAACAGCTACTCCTCACTCTTCCGAGCTAGTTGATCCTCACCTCCCTGAACTTTAAACACCAGGAATGACCCAGGGCTCAACCCTCAGATCTACTCCGCTCTACTTACCCCAGAGCATGACTTTAAATACCCTCTATAAACTGAGAACACCCATATTTAAAATCTCTAGTCTGAAAGTCTCTAAATTCCAGACTATCTCTTTATGGTTTTAGCTCTAAAATATTTAGGTTACTGATCTAAATATGAGCCATTTTGAGTTCATTTCTGGATATTCCTGAACATTTATTAAACTCTTCAAACTTCACATGTCCCAAACCAAACTTTTAATATGTCTCCACCAACCTGCTCCTCCCAGTCTTCCATAGCTCAGTAAATACTCAGGTTAAAAAAACCTTAAGAGTTATTCTTGACTTCCCTTTTTCTCTTACCACCCTACATCTAAACCATTAACAGATTCTGTTGGCTTCACCTTCAAAACGTTTCTCAAATGCCAACAGTTTACCACCTCCTCCTCTACTAACCTGGATTACTGCAATTAAGCCTTTAACTGGTCTTCCTGCTCTCACCTTTGCTTCCCTACAATCTAACAAGCAGCCAGTGATCCTGTTTAAAGTATAGTCTCTCTTCTCTAAACCCTTGGATGACTTCCTGTCTCGCTCAGAATAAAGGCCATAATGCTTTACATGGGCTAAAATGTCCTACACAATTCGCCCCTAGCATACAAACACACACACTTTTCTCATTTTTTCCCTCTCTCTCCTTCCTTAAACCAGCTCTACTGTCCATGGACTTCTGGCTGTACCTGTAACATGCATGCCCTGACTGCATTTACTGTTTCCACAGACCAGAATGCTCTTCCTCTAGATATCTCCATGGTTGGCCCGCTCACCTACTTTTGGTCTTTGCTCAAATTCACCTTCTCAGTGAGACCTTCTCTGATCACCCTATTTAAAATAGCAATTGTGCCTCCCCTGCTACTCCTTATTATACCCCCCAACATTTGCCTTTTCTCCATAGTATTTATCACCACGTGACATACTGTATATACATACTTGTCTATTTTCCTCCACTAGAATGTAAACTTCAAGAGAGCAGGGGCTTTGATTTGGTCACCTGTACACTCCCAGTGCTCAGAGCAATGCCTAGCACATAGTAGGCCTTCAATAAATATTTGTGGACCTAATAAATAGGATGCTATCTTATATTCGCCTTCTTCTATATCTGTCTCCTTAACAGACTGTGAGCTTTCTGCAGGCAGCAAAACTGTCTCACTCACATCTGAATTTCCAGCACCAAACACTAGCGCTCGGCACACAAGAAGTGTTGGTTTGAAATGAACGCATCAACAAGAGAAGCCAAGGAAAATTCCTCAGACTTTCCCAGTCCCTACTCTGTCACTCTTTAAATATAAGTCAGAGCGTGTGGGTTACCTCAAGGAAGAGATTTCAATACCAATTCCCACGCCCACAGGCGTATACCCCCGCCACCTTACACCCTTCGTTATCCCCACGATAACCAAGTGAGACAATGAGTAACGGTCAGAGCCAGAATTTGAACCATGAACAAATCCGCTGGAGGAATTAACTGTGACTCGACGAGATCAAAGAAGGTGACCGGACTCCAAAAAGAAACACTGCCCCGGGGGTGGTGGCAAGGAGAGGGAAGGGCCCTGGTGACCCCAACCATAGAATCCAAGTCCCTCTTTTGACAGCTAAGGAAACTAAAGCCTAGAGGGGAAAGCGACCTGCCCGAGGTCACCCAGCAAGCTAACCAAGGCGAGAACCCAGCTCATCCCGCCTGCGCGCCGCCCCAGTTGCCTCTTCCTTCGGGTGGTGCCCGCCGCGCCGAGCCCCCGCTGGCGCACGTGCTCCGAGGTCCCCGGGCGCCCGCCGGCCCGCTGCTCAAGGCCCGTTCCCCACCTGCGGCCGAGGCTGGGGTCGAAGACCGTGGCCCACTCCCCACGCAGCCCCGGAGCCGGCGGTTGGCAGCGCGCACCGCGGAGATGGGCCCGGGCTGCCGGCTCCGCGCCCGCCCCTTACCTGGCCGGATCCCGCGGGAACCTGAAAAAGGCCAGGTCCGACTGCGTACTCTTCCTCGTGCAGTTGGGGGCAGCGCAGAAGTTCGGCATCGTCGCCCACCCGCCGGCCGGCCCAGCCCTCCCCTCCC